GCGAATAAATTCATTTCATAGGTATTAACACGTAGGATTAATGAGCGATCGATAAGAACTAATTAAAACATCACATAATATTTTTTATTAATGACACGTAGGACGATTATTGTGGAGACGACACTTAAGATTTTTGACTTTGTAAATAATAGTATAGCCTAGATGAGTACCTGCACTACGTGCGGTTTATGTGCTATAATTTTTATACATTTGTAATTAAATAAATACATTTATCTTTAATTGTCTTATTAATCTGAAATGTTAAAATTATGCATGTGTTTTCAGATTCATATTTTAATTGCAATGTTAGAAAAACACATGTATAAAGTAAATACTGAACTGTGTAAAAAATCTGTTACTACATCATTTCTTGTGTGTAGGCTTGAGAGTAAATTTGTTACTTTGTAATTTTACATTTATTTTTTTGTTTAATAGTTTAGTTACATGTTTAAGTTGACGAATAGTGTCTTCCTTGTATATCTGTTGAGAATTGTTTGTCTTTTTTTTTGTTATCTGATATTTATTTTTGTTTATAAACGGTAAACATTGCATACAAGCCGGCGGAGTCTTAAACATTAAATCATCATTGTTTCTGAAGACAAAACCCAAAGGGGCATCTTTTGTTTAACATCTTAAAGAAACATAGCTAGGTACAGCTATGGCACACAAAGACAAACCAGAATTATTAAACAACAACACTTATAAACTAAAATCTTCAGGAGAAGGATAAATTGATGTTTAGAGAACCTTTAGATATTTTGTGCCAAAACTTATTATCAAGTACTTCTTTATGCTGGAATTTGTTAAACTTATTAGCACTTCCAACGATTGTAGCTATCACCTAAATATGATGTTATGGTGAATCCGCTTAAATGCATGAGTTATAAATGTTATGTTTTTTCTACTATTCTAATATGATGTTTTTGTAGTGATGCCTCTATAAGAGAGAGAGAAAGAAAGTAAAAATTGTATGTTTTTTTCAGACACCTAAGTAAATAGTTAGAATGATGAAAGTCATCATCCATAAAAACCATTCATACATTACAATTTTTTTGTTTGGAAATCTGGATATGGTTTTTCTCATCATCAATTGCTATGCTATTCAACGTAGGCTTCGGCCTACCTAAGTTAACAGCAAGTAGCCAATGGTGAAACACTCAAAGTTACTCCTTGGTGTACCTTGTGATTCAAGCTTGTTAATAATCCCTTGAACAATCTTATGATATAATTCCAACATTAAGTGACTATGCATCCAAAAGCATATGATTTCTCCACAAAACACTATTGAAAATTTATGTATAAATTCATAGTATTCAGAATGTTGAAGCCATTCACCTTCTGATAATCTTGCCGAATTGAAAATTGATGATACCAACCAAGAATCACTATTGATATATAATTACTGAAGGTCAAAACTCCAACAACACTAAAAAAAAAGTAGAAAACAGAGATTAGGGATTTCCAAGATATAAATTTTGGGGAGGCTGTATGTAAACAGTAATGTAAGATATTGGGTCTTCCAATAAAACCTCTGGTCTTCCTTCCCCGATTTCCTTCTGAGTTGTGTTCTTTGTTATTCCTTTGTTAAACGGGCATGATGAATGAGAGATCCTTCTCGGATTAGTCTCCACAGGCATCTCATTCTCTCACTCCCACTCCCACTCCCCCCTCCTTCCCTCCATCTTTTTATCTTCGTATTACTTCCGTATCTAAGCTTCATAGTGTGTTTATTGTAACCTCCCTTCATAGTGAATTAATGATTCAAAACTTCTAATCATCCATGATTTAGTAATGAACTCTTACAAAATTAAAAAATAATAGGTTTTTTAGGTTCTCTGTTTTCAATATTTGTTAGAAAATCATATACATTAAAATCTTGGAGTAAGAAGAGATTTGTGATAAGAAGATAGCAAATACTTTTTAGGATTTTTTAACCACACCTAAGTTTTTGACAATAAATGAACAGTGAGGATGTTTTTAAAAAGTAAAAGAAAGGTAAACTAAATTAGATGCATGTTTTTTTTATTAATGCTGATTTTTAAAATTTAACAAAAAAAATTACCAATAAAGGAGGAGTGATGTGTCGCCACTAGAGAGCCCCCTTCTCTCTTTATATATTAGAGTACGTTAATTCAACATATAAACGCATTATCAAATGCAGATATAAATGTTAAAGTCTTGGAAATGTATCAGAACCAAACTTAAATTAATCAGTTCGAAACAATACCGAATTTTATTATAACCTGAACTTTTACAGAATGTGACTAAAATATAATATTTATAAGTTTTGTTTGATATAATAAATTTAAGTTTGGTTCCGATACAAATAAGAAAGTCTTCTAAATGTAGAAAAAACTACATGAAATATACTAAAAATCAATAATGTTAATAAAAATTGTTACGTTCACTTGTGCTTGATTTTTTTATTTATTTAAAACCGAACTGAAATATATTTCGATTTTTAATATATATTTTATAGAGTCAAGTAGGTATAAATTCTATATTGAGGACAATATTAGGAAAGACAGAAAAACAGTAACTCGAAGGAAATATTCAAATTTGAAAGTAATGAAGATTACCGTTAACACCCTATGAGAAGATATCCTCACAAAAACGTCTATTTTATTAAATAATCATTTAGCAGATAATATTTGCATTTGTAGGTTTCTGTAGGGGTGTGTAGGTCTGCATGTAGGTAGCTGAGAATCATAGAATATTACCGGTCTCAAAGCTGCATTAAATGCAGTATATGGAAGATTTGGTTTATGTATGTGGCATGAACATGTATGCATGTATGTGCATGTTATTAAGGTTTTTAATGTCTATATAAAGAGGTTTCATCCACACATTATTTATCGTCTATAACATAATATTTGTATTTGTTAACATGTTATATATCCTCAATACATTGATATTTAAGTCGCTAAGACATTAGCAGCTATTTGAACTACTAACTATGTTTTAAAGTGTTGGGGGTAATGCTGTATGAACAACAATGCAAACATAATGTCAAAAAATAACTAAGGCCCCAAACATGCTCTCATAAACATCATCTATGAGTAATATATTAGGACATTAACCATCCGCCAAAAAAGATAATTATTTTCTAACTTTTTACTTAACAAGGTAATAAAATTATTAAATGTTAAATTTAATGTTAATGTATAGAGTAAAAAACATATGGTTTTGGATTTTAAACATATGATATTAATTTATTTAACGCGAGATGAATAAATTTAACTCATTAACAATTTCTATATTACGCTAAAACAATAATTAATAATGTTAAAACTATGTTTTCCAGTAAATTATAAATTTATAGCTGTTACATTTTATTATAACAAGTTAAACCATATTTTTCCTCAATTCTCTCTGTCACCATCATCTCCGTCATATATACATCCATCCCCTCTTTGGTTCCACCACCATCTCTGTTTTATACGGATCCACCTCAGATTAATAGTTACAGCATCAAAAAAAAAATTTTCAGGGATTTAAAAAGAACAAGGGAATAAATAATCTTCATTTAAACATGAATAGAGATGGGTATTGATTGATTTTGTTAGTAGAGATGAGAAACAAGTATACTCAAATGAAGTCAGAGGAAGAGTGAAGCTCACAGTTTCTTGGGAACAAAATGGGTAATATAGGTGATGCTTGGGAGGAATGGTAGACAGAGTAACGACAGCGGCAAGCACTATTGATTTTTTTTTTTAGTCACGGATAGCAGAGAAGGAGATCCAAGAAGAGAATTCAAGATTAGCGAGATGGGTATATAGGGGTAAGAGCTTATTATTGAAAGATGCACAGTGTTTGAATAGTTGCACTTCCCAGTTTTCTAATTATGAATCGTAACAGAGCTATCTCGCACATCTACTTAATTTTAAAATCTCAAGAATTCAAACAAAATATTTTAAACTTTGGAATTTGTGAAAATTTTTGGTTAACTAAAAATGTGGTTTTGTGTTTTGGCTTGTTACTTGTAAATCTGGAAGTTGTGAAAAATTTTGGTAAACTAGCACTTGTTTTGTGTTTTGACTTGTGAGTTATGAGTTATGACTTATGACCCAGCGGAGTGGAGAGTAGTATCCATTTCTGACTTGTGGCACATGATGTAAGACCAAGATTGTAGGCTTGAAGCACGTTCACAAACATTGTTTATATCTTACATACATGTCTATTAGGTCCACCGAAAACCCCCGCATATTCTTAAATGAGTTTGAAACATGTACTAAATCGTCTCGAAACCAAATAATTCTAAAGTGGACACATAATTAATGATATACAATCATTGAAATTAAATATTGTAAGATTAAAAGATATCATATGGTAGAGGCCAGCACGTAGTCTTCTTGCCGGCTACATAAAGAATCAAACAAATAGCAGATACGCATCTAACGGCTACATTCATCGTTGAACTGATGCGTTTCGTCATTCCTATATATATATATTTTTTTTTTTTGGTAAATCCTTCCTTCAACCTTCATTCTCTTTTTTTTTTTGTTGACAACTAACCTTCATTCTCTTCTTTCAAGTTTTTCATCAAGGTTTATTAATTTCGGGTCATCATTTCCATCATTTTGACGTGTTCTTGAAGCCTGTTTGATCATTCTTTTTGTCAGTCAACGAATCCAATCTAGAAATGAGGTCAGGGTAAATTTTTTTCTATTTCGTTTTTTTTTTCAATTTAGATAATAATTTGAAGAAATAAAAACGAGTGAACATAGAGGATGGTCGATCTCGAAATTGTGATGACATAAAACTCTAAGAGATTTTTTTGTTTGTTTTTTGTATATATATTGTGATTATGCTCTTGACTGCTTTTCTTTCTTTCGTTCTCTGTTCAAATACTTACAGAACAGGAATCCATGATCACTAAATGCTTTTCTTGGAAGAAAAAAAGAAGCTGGAAAAATGTCAACAAAAAATGTCCGAGTTGTAAACTTTGGGGGTGAGTCACCGGCAAATACAGAGTAAACACAGTAACTATATATACAAAAATGCAAGAGACTGTGTTCCTTTTTAGTGAGGAGAATCTCAACAAAGGGCAATCCTCAGGGGGGCGCAGTGGCGGGGGCAACAGATATAAACAGAGTTCACGCCGAGTGGTCCCCACAACAAACTGCGAGCTGAGTGACGCGGCAGCAGAAATTAGAATAGTGGAGAAGGTGCTGAAGAACGGTGATCTTTACAATGGAGGCTTATCAGCGGGGGTTCCTAACGGGACAGGGAAGTATCTGTGGTCAGATGGCTGTATGTACGAAGGGGAGTGGACACGTGGCAAAGCAAGTGGAAAAGGACGTTTCTCTTGGCCGTCTGGGGCTACCTATGAGGGTCAGTTTAAGGATGGCCGAATGGACGGTGAAGGAACGTTCATTGGCATCGACGGTGATACGTATCGAGGGCATTGGCTGTGGGGAAGAAAGCATGGCTATGGAGAGAAGCGGTATGCAAACGGCGACGTTTACCAAGGGAATTGGAAGGCTAATCTGCAGGACGGTAACGGACGTTATGTATGGAGCGATGGGAATGAGTATGTGGGAGAGTGGAAGAACGGTGTTATTTCAGGGAAAGGGACCATGACGTGGGCTAACGGAAACCGTTATGAAGGCCTATGGGAAAATGGAGCTCCGGTTGGGAAAGGGATTTTGAGTTGGAGCGAAGAGAAGACAAGTAATAATCAGTTTGGTGGTTGGGGAAGGAAGAAGAAGAAAGATGGTGAGATTGTGCAGCAAAAGCTCTCTTCTGTAGAAACTTTGGGAAAAAATACAAATTTTCCACGGATTTGTATATCGGAATTGGAGGATACAAACCCATGTGACAATGTTGAGGCAGGTTCGATGTTGAGTCCATACACGAGTGAGTCAGATACAGGTGATAACGCTAGCGGTTGCGGAGAGTATGAGTGGGCAAGAAGCCCTTTGCTTTTGGAAAGTGGCGGTGCCTTGAGTTTGCAGCAAAGTCCGAGGTGGTTGGATGAAGGAGATGTAAAGAAACCTGGGCACACTGTTACCGCCGGACATAAAAACTATGATTTGATGTTGAACCTACAGCTTGGGATTAGATATTCTGTTGGGAAACATGCTTCGGTTTTGAGGGAACTTAAGCATTGTGATTTTGATCCCAAGGATAAACAATGGACCAGGTTTCCACCCGAAGGCTCTAAGTCCACACCTCCCCATCTATCAGTCGACTTTAAATGGAAAGACTACTGCCCTGTTGTGTTTAGGTTAATAACTATACTGTCTATGAGTTTTGATTTTTGAATGGAGTATGGAAGCATACGAGAAATTTTATCTAATGGTTTGTGACTGTGCGTTTTGTTGGTGAAACAGGCATCTAAGAGAGTTATTCACGATAGATCCAGCAGACTACATGCTAGCTATTTGCGGAGATGAATCACTTCGAGAATTTTCTTCGCCTGGAAAGAGTGGAAGCTCCTTTTATTTGACTCAAGATGAACGCTTCATGATCAAAACCATGAAGAAATCTGAAATTAAGGTGGCTAATACGATTACTTGCTGACAAATTGCTTTTGATAACACAATATGATATGAGCTTTCTTAACTGCGTAGGTGTTACTTAAGATGCTCCCAAGTTATTATGAGCATGTTTCCAAGTACAAAAACTCACTGGTCACAAAGTTTTTTGGCGTGCATTGCGTCAAACCAGTAGGAGGACAAAAGGTATGAGAAATGGTCTTCTATTACACATTTGTTAATGAGATCAAAATAAAAACATATTTGTAGTTTTTTGTGACAAAACAATATAATTACAGACTCGGTTCATAGTGATGGGCAATCTATTTTGTTCGGAGTATCGTATACACAAACGGTTTGACTTAAAAGGTTCATCACATGGTCGTACCATCGACAAGGATGAAGGTGAAATCGACGAAACCACAACACTTAAAGACTTGGATCTCAAGTATGTATTTCAACTCGAGACCTCATGGTTTCATGCCTTCATCAACCAAATTGATATCGACTGTGAGTTCCTTGAAGCTGAGAGGATTATGGACTATAGCCTCTTGATTGGTCTCCATTTCCGTGAAACTTGCCTGCGTGACGACATTTCCTTGGGCATCGGTAATCTAACATTTCTTTCAACTTATTTCAATTTTTTTTTTTTGTAGTTTCTTTTCTTTTAAACTAAGAAATATGTTGCTTTCTTGCCTTAATCAGGTCGAAGAGATCAGGAGGACAAATTGATGAGAGGTTATAATTCGCTTCCAAATATGGACTCTGTCACCCAAACTTGGTACCTCCTCTTACCATTTTATTTGGTTACCATAAGTAATACTGAATAAGAGATATAAAGTAGGACTTGTAGCTACTAGTTTGTGTTAGTGTCGTCGTTAATGTCACTATCAAACTTGCATAGTGCATGGTGTACATAAAAAATAAACCCCTATCGCATCTTGATATTATATTTTTCTTGTTCTTGAAAATGTAGTAACGGACCCTTAATAAGACTAGGGGAAAGTACACCCGCAAAAGCAGAGCAGGTGAGAAGATTTGAAGAAGATTCGTGGGTAGATGAAGAAACTGACAACTCAAATCCTAAGAGTACGAGGAAGGAGGTTGTTGACGTGATCCTTTATTTCGGTATAATTGACATTCTTCAAGACTATGATATCACCAAAAAGTTAGAACACGCCTACAAGTCACTCCATGCAGATCCCACTTCCATTTCAGCTGTTGATCCTAAGCTTTATTCCCGAAGGTTTAGAGACTTTATAAACAAGATATTCATTGAAGACAAATGAGAAAAATATTAACATGCAACACCTACACACAAGTTTGAAGACCAATAATCAAAAGAACACCAAGAAGTTTATTTTACACTGGAATCACAGGCATGCGTTTGGCATTTAAGTTGGTTGCTTTTGAATGTTGAATGTTTAAAATATAGTCACTAAACCACCATGAAATGACACAGGAACCCACAATGTTGCTCGAATTTATGATGTTGAAGAGGTTGCTGGTTGTTTCAAAGATTTTATTGTGTGGTGGGGGGAGTGGGGTTTCAAAATATCTTATATTATTATTTGAGAAAGAAACTTTAAAAATAACATTTGCCTCATGTCTTATTAACAAGTTTGTCATGCTAAGGTGTCACTTCCACAAAGTTTTTTAAGAGTTTTTGAAAAAAAACGTATGTCACTAGAATAATTACAATCAATTCACTCATATTAATTTGGTTAAAAAATCAAATATATCTTATTAAACTAATCATTATAAGTAATTGTTCAAAAAAAAATATTTTTCTTTCCCTAACTAGTCACAAGAAAATTAGTAAATAATTTCAAAACATATTTCTTAGCCAATCAAATAGAATAAAAAAGTTTTGAGATTTAATTATATCATATTAATTATTTTCTTATATTCAATCCTTATTCAATTATATAATATGAATTATTTTAAATCATTATATTTCTTTTATTCTCGTTGTTTACATTTCTTTTTGAATTAATTATCACATCAAATATATAATAAATTTAATACATATGCGATAATTTGAATTTTGAAAAACAAAACAAAATATATCACTAAAGTTTTTATTTAATAAGATATCTTAATTTGTCACTTAAACTATAACTATACAATTACATTCATAATAATAAATAATAACATTTAATAATCATATTATATATTTATAACTGCAATACTTATATAAAATTATATTATTACTCATCATAATACTATTAACATACATATAAAATAAAATATATTATTCATATTTTAAATAAATTAAATCATGTTTAGTAAAGTATTTTATAGATAATTCACGCGGTGCATGACACGAAAACTATTTATTTATAATTGAAAAATATTTAAATTAAACTATGCATTCAATATTTCTATTGACAAATTTTCTGATTTCTATACTTTTGAAAAATCATTTTAGTTTAACCTTTTTTAAAAAAAAATATTCAAGACAAAAACAAAAATCCTAGTTTTTTCACAAAAAATTAGTTACAAATTTTTCAAATATAATGCAGATGGAATTTGGTTGTTACCTAATATAGTTATCAAACAAATTTTGCATTTATTTCTGTTTATTATTGATTAGTTAAAAAAATCAAGTTTTTTGAAAATTTATATAACATAATTTGAAATCTCTACGATGAACCTCTATATAAGAAAAAATGTCCTCCATAAAATTTTACTCATCATTTTTTTTCTAAAATAGCATTTTGACCTAATTATAATCTTTGTTGGTTTAACAATCAAGAGTGTTGTAATCGACTCAAAAATTACTTATTTGTTTCATTTAATTTTATCATTCCTATTATTTATGCTAAAGAAACTTAATCTTATTCATACGTAATTTTCTTTTTGTTACTGTTAGAGCTAATTTAATTATTCTAATAGTAAAATGCAATATATATAACATTATATATTATAATTTTATCTCTATACTGTTAAGAAAATGATTTTATTTCTATATAAAATAATATAGTTTACATCAATATAATATATTTGTTTTAGAATTTTAAGTTTTTATTGTTCATATTTTATTTTAAACTTAGATATTATAATACAAATGATAGATATCTCACTCCGTATAAAATGTGGATTACTACCTAGTTTAGAATTACAATGGAGGAAGGAGGTTTTTTCTTTTCCTCTAAAGTCAAAATCTAGTGCAGAGAATAGAAAACCGCTACTTGAGTTTCGTTTTTTTTTGTTACATTCCGAGCTGAAATTATGTATACATGGTCAACGAGTAAATGATCTGCATTTTTATTCCGCCTCTATGTTTTTCTCCTAGTCTAAGTCTAACCATTATAGTATAATATATATATATAATATTAATATATATATATATATGGGTTTCTTTTATAAATAATATTTCTTTTTTTAATATTGTTTTCTATTTTCTTTAGTCATATTGTTTTCTATTTGTTGATAACTAAGAGTTTTGGGGCTCTTAGAAGGGTTATCAATCCCCTTGTCAAAGTAGTATAAGGGGTGTCAAACTAAACTTGTAAACGAGACACTAGCCTATGTCATTTGTTCACTTAAGTCAAGACAAGAAGATAAAAGTTTGGTGACGATGATTAACAGGCAAATAAGCAATAAAATTAAATAAAAGCATAGATTTAAACTAATCAAGATGCAAACAACAAACAGGTGATTCAGATGATGATAATATGCGATAAGGGAAGAGACTCTAGACAAGATAATCGACTCGGGTGCTTCCAAGCTAAACTAATGGGTTAATGAATTATTTTGTCAAGCGATTTCATTTAACTTTGAACTCAAGGCATGTTAATCTTCTCATGAAAGTATCAAACATCTAAACTGATCCTCCTTCATACCAAAATGTCTTTTGAGAAGCACGAATCAATCAGCAATAAGATTCAGTTCAAATATGTCTTTTAAGAGAACAAACTATCACTCTCGCGATGAAAGACTCTTAAACCTTTAACCGAGTGGTTCAGACATTTCTACAAACACTTTTGATGCGAGATATGCCTCAGATCTGAACCTCAAGTGATATGCTTGGGTCCAGCCTAGAGATCTCGTCGGTTAAAGAATGAAACATGCAAGACTAGACACCTAAACCCACTAATCTATCTTGAAAGCACCCTAATCTACTTATCTAAAGCAGCTTAAACGACTACTCACTGATCATAACGAGCTCACTAAGTCCTTTGCAAGACGTGTAGCTGGTCATGATTAGGAGTTTAATGCTGATAATAAAAGAAGAATAAAGAAAGAACAAGATTCAGATGCAAAAACGAGATATCGGATTAGATTAGTCTGGTTTCACAAAAAAGGCAAGTTCTTAAACGTAAAATGGAGATAAAAGATAAGATGATTAGGTTTTTGGTCCTAAAATGTATTTATAGTAAAGGGAAAGTGTCGCGGGTCAGCCCGGAACAAACCGGGTACTGAACCGCTTCCTTGGGTTGATGGGTGAGTGCCACGGTGTGTCGGAAAGTGAAGCCGAGGTCTTCATGCCGAGGTATGCACGTGAGTCAGGATCCAGATGAAGATCTCGTGAAGAACACGTCAAGAACATGCATGAACCCTAGTCTTTGATCCATCCTCACGTGTGTGTTCTTGAGCCATTCTGTTCTTGATTCTGGGTTCGTGACAAGGGACCTCGGGATAAAATGTCGAGGGGTCATGATGTCGAGGTGCTTGGGAGAACACAGTCCGGCATGCACGCCGAGGTCATTACACCGAGGTGTACTTTCACCACTTAGTCGTTTCCAGCTTCAGTTCTTACGTATGAATGCATCGATCTAATCATGCCAAGGCTTTGGCACGAGGTCTAGTCCAGAATACTTCCAAGATATGAGCCTCGACTTGATTGATGCCAAGGTAAAGATACCGAGGCTTGTGAAAACACTTAGCGCGTATCGCAACTCATTTAGGCTTGTATCAACCATGTCACCTTCCGGAAGCAGTAACTTTCAGCAGACGACTCCAATATCTCTGGAACCAGTTCCACAGTCAATATGACTCAACAAGCTCGAACTTTGGTGAAGGGACCGTTGGATCTTGGGAAGTGGAAGGCTTCCTGGATTTCACATCTTTGCACCGCATCGGATTCACCGGAAAATAAGCTTTTGAACCAATGTGAACTCCGGAGACCTTATCTTTTGAACCACTGCTCCGTACTGAGCGATTCCAACTGTTCTGAGAAGGTACTTCATAGATCTCAGACTTTGATGAAGACAGGGCAGGCTAGTTTCGTCCGGAAAGGCTCCGTCCGCCGTGATCTTTGGAATCCGCCGTTCGGTTCTCGGATGCGCGTAATGCTGGTGCATCTTCCGGAAGCTGTATCTTTCTCCTAACTGGTCCGAATTGGATGATTCTAACTGCTCTGGAATCTTTGCTTAATTCTCTCCAACTTTGATGAAGACCCCGCCAACTGATTCGGACCGGAAGGTTCCCCGGATTTCTGATCTCTGAATTGCGTGGGCAAGGACAACTTTTGGTCGTAAAAACCTTCCCGCGGTAAGGAAAATGGCCGAGGGCTGTGTACCGCGGTAAGCTTTTTGGTCGTAAAAATCTTTGCCTCGGTCAAAAACTTGTCCTGTGGTATTTTTGCACTCGATACTCGATTCTGGCCGATCGGTAAGGTTTTTGGCCGGTAATGAGCATTCCGGTAAACATTTTGGCCGAGGTTTCCGACCAGCCGGTACGCGATTTGGCCGAGAAATTCCTCCAAGCGATTTTCACCATTTTTGACCCTTTTCTTCACCGTTTTCTTTTCTGTTCCTCTTCTTAGGCTCCAATTGGTCTCCAAAGCTCCTGATAAAGACTTCAAAACATGCAAAACTCTTTGGGACCTAATGCAAGCCCTAAGTCCTATTTTGACGCCTAAAGACTCAATTTACATGAGAAAACACATGATGAGGACTCTATAATGCAATCTAAATGATGTAAAATATAGACATATCATTTGTATGTAAGTTTCGTAGCTATTTTAAAAAATCAGTTTCATAGCTATATATTTGCCATATGTTTACCTACATCACAATGTACCACTTTGTATACTGTTCATACCTATTTTGCCTCTGTACAGTGTGGTGTGTACGTGCATGTACGGTACACGATATAGCATCAAAGGAGTATAATCGTCATCTAATTGAAATAAGTGACAAAAAAAAATTAGTAATTTTGAAAAGTGACAAAAAAACTAACAAAAAAAAAAAATATAAGTGACAGCTATTGCAAATTTCTCTAATTTTAATATCACATACGTCATGTAACCAAAGAAATTTAAAATTCAAAGTTCTTTATC